CAACCTTAATATGCTTGGTTCTCTCGTGAAACACAAGATTGACAACGATATGGATAGCAGTCTGGTTGTCACAGAACAAATGTAAAGGAAGTTGAACTGAAAACTCAATTTCCTAGAGAAAGTGTAGTAGTCAAGTCAACTCACTCGTCATATGTATCATTGCCCTATACTCAGCCTCAATATTGGATCTTGCTACCACGGGTTGTTTCTAATTTTTCCATGAGACAACATTACCTCCTAAGAAAGTACAATAACCAGTGATTGATCTCCGATCAAAAGGAGAGTCAGCCCAATCAGCATCTGAGAAACCTTCCACTCTAAGATGTCTATTAGCTCGATATAACAGTTCAAGTCCAGGAGCTCGTTTGAGATATCGCAGAATATGAGTAACTGTCTCCCAATGTGGTACTCTAGGACACCCATGAACTGACTTACTATACTGACTGCATAGGAAATATCCGGTCGACTAATAATAAGATAATTAAGCTTTCCAACCAATCTGAGATACCGACCCGGATTCTCAAACAATGCACCATCATCCATCAATAATTTCTTATTCGGATCCATAGAAATATCAATCGGTCTACCACCCAACAAACCTACTTCCTCAAGTATGTCAAGTACATATTTCCTCTGGGATAAACAAATATCCTGTTAGATCGAGCCACCTCAATACTCAAGAAATACCTGAGTTTTTCCAAATCCTTAGTATGAAATCGATCCTATAAGAATATTTTTAACTTGGCAATCCCCTCAGAATCATTCCCTGTAATCACAATATCATCTACATAGACCACCAATAGGACCTATCCAGCATCTGTCTGTCTATGAAACACAAAATGATTTGTCTGACATCGAAGAAGACCAAACTCTAAAACTGCATCTGAAAACTTATCAAACCATGTCGTAGGTGACTGCTTCAAACCATACAAAGATTTTTTTAACTGATATATACTCTTACCATACTCCCCATGAGCAATAAACCCAAGTGGCTGCTCCATGTAAACCTCTTTAATCAAGTCACCATGTAGGAAAGCATTCTTGATGTCTAACTGAAACAAGGGTTAATCAAGATTAGCAGCCAAAGAGATCAAGATACGAACAGAGGAAATTTTGTCAACAGGAGAAAAAGTCTCCTCATAATCAACACCATAAGTCTGAGTAAAGCCCTTTGCAATAAGTCGGGCTTTAAGACGCTTCACAGAACCATCTGGATGAAATTTAACAGTATACACCCAACGACAGCCAACAGTTCATTTACCAGGGGTAAAGGAACGAGATCCCAAGTCCCATTATGATGTAAAGCATCCATCTCCTCTTTCATAGCTTTCCTCTAACCCGGATCAGATAAGGCATCCTATAAATGCTTAGGAATAGATATAGCAGATAATTGGGAAGTAAAACAGGAGAAGACAAGAGACAAGATATCATATGAAACAAAATGAGAAATAGGATGATTAGTAACACATGAACGAGTACCTTTGCAAAGAGCAATAGGTAAAAAGTATAAATTACTTGATGTACCAGGATCAGAAGGCGGCAAGGAAGACGGTACGGGCACCTCAGTCGATGAGCGAGGACGGCGAGAGTAGACATGGAGAGGTAAAGTAGATGGTAACACAATGGGCAGCAAAATGTTTGAAGATGAGGAAAGAGATGGGGGTACAGGAGATGATCCAAAGGCTGAGAAGGTGCTGGAAAGTAGGAACAGATTCTTCAAACGTGACATCGACACTAGTAAAGTATCGGTGCAGAGAAGGACTGTAACAACGATATCCCTTCTGCGTGCGGGAGTAACCAAAAAATACACATTTGGTAGCTCGAGGGTCAAGTTTATCATACCCAAGACCCAAATTGTGAACATAACAAACACATCCAAAAATCTGAGGAGTCAGGAAAAATAAGGGCTTACCAGGAAAAATGATAGAATATGGACTTTGCCCATTTAACACAGAGGATGACATACGATTAATAAGATGACAAGCAATAAGAACATCACTCCAAAAATATCAGAAAATATTCATCTGAAATAACAGGGCACGGGTGACTTCCAACAAATGACGGTTCTTGCGTTCAACAACACCATTTTGTGGAGAGGTGTAAGCACAAGAAGTCTGATGAATAATGTCAGTTTTACTAAGATAAGCAGAAAAATGATCAGATTTATATTCCCGAGCATTATCAAAACGTAAAATACAGATACGATACCCATACTGAGTTTTTATTTCCTTATGAAATGTCTCAAATAGAGAATAATTCAAACCGACCTTTCATCAGAAACAACCAAGTTACACGAGAATATTCATCCACAAATGACACAAAATAAGGATATTTATTAGATAAAATATTCTTTATTGGACCCCATACATCAGAATGTACCAACTCAAATGGACTAGACACACGATTATTGACTCGAGACTGAAATAACACACGATGATGCTTACTTAGTTGACAAGTTTCACAAGACAAAGATGACACAAAACTAAGACTGGGAACCTGCGCTTCAGATTCTGGAGAGAGAGATGTCCAAGACGACAATGTCACTGAAAAGAAGACAATGAGGTCTGTAAAGCCTGAGTAGGTGAATCAAAATCAAAGTAATATAAGCCACCAGCTTCATGCCCCGTACCAATCTTGCTCTTCGTCTTAAGATCCTGAAAGACACAATAAGATGGATAAAGTATTACTGAACAATTGAGAGAACGGGTAATCTTGTTAATGAAAAGTAAACTAAAAAGAAACTGAAGAACAAATAATACGGAAGATAGGGACATATCAAGACTCAAGTTAGTAGTTCCCAAACCTGAAACTTTAGAACAAGTGTCATTAGCAAGAGTAACACTACGTGTGGAGGTAGCAGACTGATAAGTAGAAAAAACATCAGACACACCACTCATGTGATCAGAAGCGCCAAATTCTATGATCCAGGGACTGCTATTGGAGGACAATAAACACGTAGAAGCAATACCTGACTGGATAGGAACTAGACATACTCCTCTCGAGTAATAGTAACCAATACAGTGTCTTGCTTGGGTTCCATAACAGTGCAACAAATAGCAAAACGAAAAGCACTAAATCACTGAACAGGACAAGAATCACCGACTGCATTGCTGAACCAAACCAAAGGAGCCCACGGGATCACTGAACCAGCCCGAACCGGTCTAAAACTTACTGAACCGGCCTGAACTAGTCTAAGAAAACCTGCTGAAAGTCTGAACCGGACAGGAAATAGGTGTTGTACTACTAAACCGATGCGAACCGGGTCTGAACCGGACCTCTGAACCCGTTGGACCGCTAAACCAGACCACTGAACCGGACCGGACCGGGTTTTGGGCTAGACTGAGTTTGTCAGCTGAACCCGCTGGACCACTTTAAAACCTAGTCTTGGGCTGGACCACTTTTAAGACCTGGCCTTGGTTTGGATCTAATCCAGATTCGACCCTAGCTCCTTCTTCTTCGCTGAATAGGGTTCCCTTAGAACCCTCTGGTCTTCGACGGCGCCAGACAGCACCCTGACCACCACAGCCACAGCACCACCACGATCGATCACGCCACCACTTCGACTGCACCTCAACCACCACACCGAACGACAGACCACCTAAAAATGGACACCACAACGACGCTACACCACAATGGAGAAATCACACTATACCACCACCACTACACTACCACGGCGAACACCAAACAAAGGTAGACAATGACCAACAGTACCACACCACCAACAACGACGACAAACGATGGTCAACAGTACAACGCCACCACCACTAGCGACAATACCACCAACGAATCAACCACCACAAATGTATCACCACCACCACTGTAGTTCGACGATTCAACGATACATAGCCACAACAACTGTACCACCACCACCGGTATGGTTAATTTATTCAAAAAACATATATTTAGGATTAAACTTGATCTGATACTATGTTAAGTTTAGAGGATTAACACAACACCACCACCACTAGCGACAATACCACCAACGAATCAACCACCACAACCACCACACCACTGTAGTTCGACGATTCAGCGGTACATAGCCACAACAACTGTACCACCACCACCGGTATGGTTAATTTATTCAAAAAACATATATTTAGGATTAAACTTGATCTGATACTATGTTAAGTTTAGAGGAATAACACAATATTAGAGAGAAACAGATAGAGGTTCAAAACTTAACCTAGCTCTCATACATCACTTGTATTTATAGTTAACTCACAATAATAAGAATTACACATAATATCCTAACACTATTAACAATTTATACATACTACTCTAATACTCTTAACAGAGCTCATGGACATTTACTGGTAATCGATTTTACTGATGTGAATTGGGTTGGTTCCCCATCAAAAGATCTATTATAGGATATTGTACATTCTTAGGAAGGAATTTGGAGATATGGAAAAGTAAGAAACAAGGTGTTGTGACTCAATCTAGTGCTGAGACAAAATATAGGGCAATGACTCAGATTACATGTGAATTGATATGGCTAAAGAATTTATTGTATGAGATTGGCATTCTAGTAACTTTTCCAATGCAATTATTTGTGTAATAATTAGGCTGCAGTTCATATTGCTTCGAATCCAATTTTTCACGAACGAATAAAACATATTGAGATTGGTTGCTATTTTGTTCGTGAAAAGCTTCTGTCTAAGGAGATTACTACTTGTTTTGTACATTTTGCATATTAGTTGGCAGATATTTTCACCAAATCACTTAGAAGAGATAAAATTGGTATTCTTTGTTCCAAGCTAAGGACTATTTGATATCTTTAGTCCAGCTTGAAGGGGAGTATTAGTGAGTTAGGGGCAATAGGGTCATTACCCTAATTCCATATGTGCAACTATATAACTCTCTCTATGATGAATTGAGTTTAATTTTTCTCTTCCTATTCAATTAGTCTCTCTCTCTATACTGTTAACAAATATAAATAATTTTGAATTATTACCTCAGTTTATTAACACATATGCAAGAAATCCTTCACTTGCAATACGCTAAACTGCAAGTCTTTGCTGCAAGATTTCCCTCTCCTCCAATGCTAGTCTCTTGTGAAGTCTATGTTGGTGATCCACAAACTCCACAAATAAGTCCCTTAATCTCTTTGCTGTCCTGAATTCTCCGGTTCCTGAATGAACGACCCTTAATTCATTCTCAATGTTTGTATTTTGAATTTCATACTGCAGAAGTAAAAGCCAAAAATCAATTTTGGATGATACACAAACAACAATCATATTTAGATTTCAACAAGTTGTCTCACCCGGCCATTCAATTAATAGAGTTATTTGCTAAAAAATTTACTTTTTATAATGAAATTCAGTTTATTATTATTTAATAAAAGTTCTTTATTTTCTATTGAGAATTTGTATAAATGTTTGTATTATATTAAATTTATGCTATGCATGTGTCTTTTTTTATATAGTAGATAATCTGGTGTGTAAAGTTTGACATATACATAGAAAATCAAATTATCAAATCCCTATATGATATGAGTAAAGGTTCCCAATCTTAGATGGAATTGAACACACTATCAATAGGATTGTAATGCAATCTTCTGGCATAATCTAACTTACCTATAGGAAACTGTTTGATATCTCATATGTAGCACTAGTATATTTTGTGTATTGAACATGACCATTATTGAGGTTATTTTCTTTTTATGACTAAATAAGAAAATAAATACCTCATAATTATTATGATTGCTTAAACTCTTGATCTTGAGATATTTAAAGGACACATGCATATAATAATTATTAATTTAATTCGTAAAAGAGTGAAACTCATATTTGAGTCAACAAACTCAATGAATTGGGAGATGATATTATTTGTATGGTGAAAATTAATTATTAAAAAAAAATTACGTCCCAATATTTAAATGGGTTGATGATATCTCATCGAGAAAGCTCATAAGTTTTGTCCATGTCAAACCGTGCAGGCAAATTTAATTATCCGACATGACAAATAAATTGAGTGGTAAGATATCAAGGATAAAAAATAGTCAATTAAATATAATTGTCAGGAATTTAATTAATTGACGGATATCTGTAATCTTAAACATAGGGAGATTATTAAGCATATAATAATGAAGAAGTCGAAATATAATTTTGAGAGAAGATCCAGGAAATTAATAATAAGTTTTTAGTGATTAACTAATTATTAATGGACCATAGAATGTTTGTTCAGGGTTAGACATAAGATTCCTAGGCCCATTGAAAGTCCAACTCTTATTTCTCCTTAAGGTCTTTACTGTAGCCTATAAATAAACGCACTGCCTCATTCTCTCTGTCATAACCTTTATCTTTACATTTAGAAGAGACAAAGAAAGAGAACGAGAAAATTCGAAGAATTGCAACCCACATTGCATTCGAATTTTAGTGTGGACATACGGTAAAAGATAGTGAGGTCTATCGAGCCTGCTATTCGATTTGCATCTGTTCTTCGTTCATGCGAATCTGCTCATCAAAGGTAAATCCTAATTCTACCTTATAGGGTTAATAGACTGGAATTTTTTTTTGTTTTCGATTATACTTGTTTGTCAACGAACCTTGGGACTACCGTTCCAACACTATAATGTCCCAAAGCCTACCTTAAATCTTTCTCGCCACAATTTTTCATTTCATTTGCTTTCTTATAACTGGAAGAGTTTTGCTAAGAAATGGCTAAATAAGTGATTCGGTAAGTAACCAAAATTATTTGCTTTGGGGCAAGCTTAACTTACACGTTAGAGGGATGACTAGTGTTACATCCCTCTATCATCCGTAAAACTCAACTTCATCTATCCAAATCATTTTGTATCATGAATGCCAGATGTAAGTCCATGAGGCATAATTGTCCAATCCATGAAATTTTCTTAATATAATATTAGCATGATTTCAATGAGACAGTTCTAAATCTTGAATTAATTTGGTTTTAGCATATATAGTAAATATGAGAAAAACATTTAATCCATTATGACTATGGATTCATGATATTGAAACCTCAAATACTGTATAATTAAAGACTTCCTAAGGATTGTTATAGTGTCGCTAGATTAAATAAAAAATTTAGTATAATCAACCAAAGAGGAGTTTTGGTTCTAATCTTTTCTTCTAAGTAGGGATCCCATCATATGACCATCTCAAATCCTTAATTGCAATGTGGGAGCATCTTCTTATCATCCTGCATATTGGTTCCAAATTTTCAAAAGATTGGTACAAAGGTTACCTGAGATTTTGGCATCAAGCCCCCAAGACCCATTTTAAAAGTTCCATGCTTTACTGATTTTTCAGTTATGACCCACGGCCTGCAGAAAATGAAAGAAAACGAATACTATCAACCCATTGAACTATTGATCTGAATCAAAAAAAGAGCCATTGAACAGACTAAAACGCTAAGCATTTGAAAGTAGCAATATCAGAGAGAGCCTAATACTTGTAGAGAAAGTTGCAACAGATAAGTACTTATAGTCTAGAACAAATACTTAACAAATGCAGGAATGTGTTTGTTTTGTACCGGGGGTCCTCTCCCAGTGACCATCAGAGACTAAAATGAAAAGGTATCTGGTGTCCACCTTTAAAGGGGTTCAGTTTGTATGCCTATTTGTGACAACAAAAAAATCTGTAGGCAAATTCCCCAAATTAAGCACCCGATTGAAACAAAATGACATTATAATATGGGGATGACACACAAAGAAACACACATCCCTTTTCAACATCCTGTCTTGGCACTTGGCAGTATGAACTGCTTACACTCCTCATCCAGCTCACTCCAAAAATTCCTGGCCTATAATTTTCTTATATACTTGGACCTATCACCTTTCACTCAACAATCAATCTTTGAGTCATGCTACTGTCAACTTGTGAAAGGCGCCAATTATGTAACAATTGCTAACTTCATTGTTTTCATCTTCAAGAGGTAACGAATCATGTAAATCTATGTAACTGCCTCTCATTAGGCAATCATGTAGCCTTTGCATATAATCAGATTAAAGAAATGAACAATATATCATTACAGATTATTATGGAAAAAAGAGTTGGTCAAGCCTCAGTAGTAACCCTTTAGGCTTCCTAGGCAGCTATCCAATCAACGTGCGACGTAGAATCTTTTATTTTGCAAAATATGCCAAAACACTGATTCTAACTATGTCCTGACTCCTAACATTGCTATGCATCACTTGTCTGTTGAACTGATAGAAATAATAAAGTGACATCCTTTAGAGTAAGGGAATAAAACAAAAATGAATTTAAGTACACAGCAGGTAATCAAAATCCAGCAACAATAACACATATCAACCATATAACCACTGTTCTAGCTAGAACAAATGCAATTATCACTTTTTATCTAAACTTTAAACAACCACCTTGATTGACCAAAACTCATTTGTAAGATTAAATCACAGAATACTATTACCAGGCGGTGATTTGGATCATAAAATATAAGAAACACCAATAACATCTGGAATTATAGTTTTATATAATTTTTATCTATTTATGATATACAATATAGAGAGAAACATATATATAGAGCGAGAGAGGTAAGGAGGGAGAAAGAGAATGCCCCTCCAATCGAGCTAGGATTATAGCATATAAATGAGTGTTACTGGGTGGGTGCATTAAATGGGAGTGACAGGGTTCGAATCTCTTCAACCTGGCTTCATAAAATTTGTGGATAGAATTTTGGTGACTCATTTTTCAGTGTGATCTGGCCCATGCAAAGGTCTGCTTTGCAGGATTACCGATTCAACTGGCCAAATCAGTTTTGTAAAACACCAGCGGCATGATAGAAGCTGGTCTACAGTCTCTCATATTAAGGTTCAACCAAAACCTTTACACTTGCATTAACAATCTTTTGGAAGAGCGGATAGTCTAACAAACCACAGTGGGTCCAATGCATAGGGCATTGCTAACTAACTCTATCAAGTACCAACTTTGGCATGCAGCAGGAATGCCAAATGGATTACTTTCGTTTTTCTTAGCTGAACTCACAAAAAATGCTTATAGGCATGCAATATGGAAGGTCTAGTAAAATTTTCATCTCTTTCCCTAATTTGAGGTAAAATTAAGAAAGACTTGCACTTCATTTAAACTTGATAATTGAAAAAACAAATTGATAGATTGAGAGGGAACCAACATTCAATGCGTGCCATGCATCAACAAGCCAAAACAAATAGCTATGTCTAACGGTAACACAATTATCCCAATGAAACAATCATAAAACCAAAAAAGGGAAGAAGTTGGATACATTCTGAATAACGATTGTAAGCTACAGTATTGCAGTGATAAAGCATACCTTCCCCTTGAAGACAATATAATGTGATCAGGATTATTTAAAAACTCATTTATCTTGCAAAGCTCCTTTTTGCAATCTAACACAATGGCTCCCCTTGTATAGGACTCCATTGACAAACTTGGGAAAACGTATGCTAGTGGTGAGACAGAAGTTTGTTTATGGATGAATTCCATGATAGATGAAGGGGACAAGTCTTTCTCTATGTTCTCAATTAGTATGAAATAGTGAATTCGCGGATTTTTAATAGAATTCATGTCAATATAATTGCCTCCCAAATCTCTATCATGATCCTGTTGACATATTTTGCGAACCTTCCCTGCCATTCAGTGAAAGAAGTTATAAAATTAGAGAAAACAAACCATAAAATTCTTCATATCTAAGAGCAGCCTTAATTAGTTTTTATAGAATTTAAGAACGAACCAACCTTCAGCTTTCCCCACCAAACTGCCAAACTGCCCGGCACTCTCCTCCTATATGACAAAGCAGGCATACCTTGAAGCCTACATTAGCATGCATGCAATGACATTTCTATCTTTTAGAAAATCATAAACAGAATAACTTGCCTGAATTATACACTGAGATGAACTCGACTTTGGTTTGATGGTAGAGCAAATCTTTTCCTTATCACATTTACCTATCTTAGACAATGAAATGCCACCATCTGAGACTGAACTAGAATTTCGGGAACAGATTTCAAATTTCTCCTTTGCCATTCTTGAGAAAGAGGTCACTCTGGGATCAAGTGAAGCACTAGATTCAATAAGGCAAATATCTGCAATATTTGCTGGTGTCATCTCACCCCACTTGGGACCATGTTGCCAGAACAGCACAAAGGTGCACAAGCACTCCTCTTCTTCATTCACAAATGAATGTTTGCTATTGTGCACCTATCAAATTCAGGACCAAACAACATTGGGAAACTGTAAACTCCCCATCCTAATTTAATGCTTCAGAATCTAAGAACAGCTACATGTAGATTTGACATAAAATTCCCAATTACAATTAAACAAATTTGGTCGCTAGTATTGATTTCTTTATATCAATACTAGCGGCCACCTGCAAGGAATTTACAATGTCTCTCCACAGTCACATCTTACCCTATCTCTGTCACCCCCACGCCCACGCCACCCCAATATTATTAAAAAGTTATCTATTAATTTGCTAAATTGAATTTTTTTAAAAAATAATGGAAAGAAATTACTAAATATGGTAAACAAATTCAAATGTCAACTCCTTAACATTTAACAATCATGATTGAAGTAGTCACTTAGAGTGTCTCTAACAGAACATGTAACACTTCAAGATAACTAAAATTTAGCTAACCAAAGACAAAAATTATCCTCCGACAAAATATGTTCAAATACTCTAAAATAGCTTTTTGCTACGGTTATACTCAAAATATAGAACATCAATGTAGTAACTTGTATAAATACTTTATAATTTTTTTTCTCTCCAACTATCCTTTCCGACCTCTCTTGTCCACTCTTTATCTTTCTCACCATTCTTTCTCTCCCCCTCCAACAATCCCAACAAAAGTACAAAATATGTGAAATAATAAATATTTAAAAGTAGTAGTTAAAATATAAAAAATTTGATGGAGTGTGTATTAAAAAAGTGAATAACTAAAATAAAAAAAGTGTACTTTTAGATAGCTAAAATACAAAATTTTAGTGGAGAAACCCATTTAAATACTTCGAAATTATGAAAATGTAGAATTTGAAGAGAGAAGTCTTCTCAAATTATCTCCCATGAAATTTGATACTTTTATAATCGTATAGATATAAATACATCTCCCAAATTGTCACACCTCTCATTATTCTAAAATCAATAGCTGATTTCTACGTTTCAAAATTTCCATTAATTTTGAAACAAAACAGAAAAGGCGGAACTGATTTCAACGAGCAAACGTATAAGACAAGAAACAATCACATTTACAAATTTTCGAACAAGATTATACATCGATAACTTTTTGAGCTTTGAAAATGAAAAAACTAGTACGGAAATTATATAAAATTGTAATTTCTTCTTGTCATCTTCTCAGGTGCCAAACACAGACTATTAAACCACTCACCGCCTCGACAACAGCGTCGTAGAAGCGAATATCGTCCTCTTTCAACTTAAACAAGGCACAGACAGTCAGGCCTTCGACGAGTCGCGAGCAATGGCTGTCCTGTAACTGCTCCGATATCTGTCGGAACCTCTGCACGAACTCGTCTACGTCCTCCGGAGTCTTGAAATCGGCGGCATTGAACTTCTCGTCGACAGAATCCGGAAAATCACAGAGCTTCACAGTCATCGTGTCGTTTTCTACCACCACTCGTGCGCTGTACCACGCGTCATCTGCGGTGGATCTGAACTCCAGGTCGTACACCGAACCGTCGCCAAAAACAGACATTTTGACGTCGTGGCGGTGGCGGTCAGTATGAAAATTACAGAGAGTGTACATGTCTCATACCCGTATCCGTATATTTACTCTGCAGCAGAGAGAGAGAGAGAGAGAGAGAGAGACTCATCGACTTTCGCTGGGTTGGCTCGAAATTTTACCCAATTTTGGAAGATGCCGGACGCATCACGAAATTCAAATGACGATTATTATTATTATTATTATTATCTTTACTTTTTATAGTTGATCAGGGCGTTTGGACCGTCTTATAATTTTCACGCACTTCGATTTGTTCTCGATTCAATTAAAAACAGATCTCTTATCCTGAGAATAACGATATTCAACTTTTTTTTTCATTTTTTTTGTATGATATTCTTGAAAACTCTAAGGTATTATTAAGATTTAAATTCAATAAGTTTAAATTTATAATTCTTTGTCTATCACCACTTAAGTTATCCTTTAACATTAAATGACAAATTTTGGTATGCTCCAGATGATGAGAATAATCTATCGTTAAAGGGGTGTAATTCGGATAATTTGGACGGGGTGTAATTCAGACAATTTGGACAGGTCGAGAGCTCAAGTACAAATTTTATTGAAAATATAAAACTTTTAGCCCTAAGTCAAATTTTAATTTGAGCAACTTCAACTCGAGTCGACCGTGATTAATTTTTGAAATTGATTGAACTCAAGTTACCTAATTGAGGTTGTAATTCAGATTGAAATTAGGTTTTTCATTCATTTAAATCAAATTGAACAAAAAACTAAGGCTTACTAAATTAGAAAACAAAAATGGCCAAATTTCACATGGCTTCAAAATAAATAATTATCATACACCTTTACATTTTTTATTTCAAATTTTCAAGTTTCGGGTTAAATCCAATTTCATAACTTTGTTCCGAGTAGATATTGAACTCGTCAATCTGCATCCCCAATTCGAGTATGGGCCAAATTTAATTTGAATTTTAACCCAAGTATTAAATGTCTTAGATTGAGTTCATGTTAGCCCACCTAAATTACATCCCTATCTATCATATGGTTTTCATAGTATAGCTAATTTTGGACTAAAATTTACTGTTTGAATTGTGATCCAAATTCAAAAAATCGTAATCCACTAAAGTTTTGTAAGAGTTTAGAAATATTGATTGTCTTTTTCTACTAGCAGCCCTGCTCAGCTCCTTTTTTTTTTTATTATTATTATTATTATAAAAACAAGCAAAAAAATACATACATATTTTATCCAACATTATATTAGAGTCCAACTCAGCTCGATGATCCATCAGTAACTTGAATTAAGCATGAGTCAGATGCAATAGATTGTGGCCCAACTCGAACAGCTAATCAACCACGTCAGCATCCAGACTTGGGCTTGGATTATTGCTGAGTGGGCAATCCTGACCCATAGACCAATTAAAGGCTTGCAGTCCACGGGCTTTGATAGGATTGGCAGTCAACCCGTTTACAGCCTGTGACCGACACTGGGCTAGAGCCCAAAGTATTAGTTGGTGGGCCAACCCGGCCGTCAAAAGAGTAACTCTTTGAATCAGTGTTACCAGAACTGAACTGGACTAGACTAGTTGATCGAACGGGTTGAACCGTGAACCAAGATCTAAAAAGGTCCGATTCTTTGATTAGACCGCCTAAGGAATTGAACCGATAAAAAACCAAAAAATCGGCCAATTTTTCCCAAAATCGGTGAACCAAAAATTCCTAAAACCGATTGGTTCAAAACAATACTAGCCCATTTGTCTTCGTCTTCTCCGACTGGTTCAAAAAGATTTCAGCCCCTTTCTTCTTCGTCTCCAATGTTTCCAAATCTAACTCGAACACTCACCACACCACAGATCTCGACCTCTTTCTCAGCCATTGATATCCTCTTAAGCTTTGTTAGTCTTCTCCTCTTGCCTCTCTCTCTCTCTCTCTCTCGGGTTGCCAAAGATGGCGCATCTAAGTTTTACCTCTTCAGTCTTCCGTTTTATTTTTTTGCCTAATCTACAACCCAACTTCAACCTGGTTCCACTCTCTCTCTCTCTCCACGTGCACACACGATCAACCTGTACACACATTCAACAGTCAAAAAACTCAGAATACTATACACAATAATTTTTATTATGATCATAAATTTTTAACTAAATTATTATGTTGTATAATTTTTTTTTTATTTTTGACCAATTAACCCAACGGTTAATCACTGCTTTAGATTATGCTTGCCTGAGGTCATTGAGTAAGAAACAACCCAAATGATTTCAGATATCACTACCAAACTCTCTCTCACTTTTCGGTATCATACCCAAAATTTTAAAAAAAAAAAAAAACCAACAAATTCGTAAACTTTACCACAAAAATTGATAGATTTCACCAAAAAAAGTGGTGAGGTAACCCCCAACAATAGCTGGGAGAAGGTTATTCCAATGAAATTCGGGCCTTTTTCAAGTCTTGTCATCCAGATTGGTTTTTGAACCAGCTTTTTACAACAATCACCAACTAGGAATGAAATCATTGAACAAAACCTGTTCACATGTGCATCTAAAACAGCATAGACCAGTATTCAGTGGACATAAAAATTAGGTTTAAGTTTAACATATATATATGTCTCGAATCCGGTACACTTTCAGAATAGAACTTTGGAATACTATTAGGATTTTCACTGATACAGCAGTCTATTGCATTACATATTTGGAACTGGAATGTATATTAATCAAACCCAAGGGGAGGGGGGAACGGTAACAGGGTAGGGTTCCACTCAAAACAAACCTCAAAGTTTCTCTGGAACTTAACAAGAAATATCTCTACCATAAAGTTCAGTTATACCCTTTGTAGGATCATTCTGTTTCACAATAGACTCTCCAACCAACACCTGCCACGGTACAACAAGATAGTTTCAATCTAAATTGTATATACGAAGACCAGTGACAGATATATGTCGATAACTCTACAAAAATTGAGCTGACACATGGAACCAGATTACTCATTCAACATACAATTATATGAAAATGTATTACTATAGCAGCCAAGTTGGCAAACATATTATCCAAAATAAAATTAAGAATACTTAACGCTAAGTTACCACGTGTATTAATCTGTAGTTCTTAAATGTAAGAAGAGCGCATATCATCTTGACTTACTTTTGTTTCCTAAGACAACCCCAACCCAACTAAAAGTGAGACAGTTTTCAATGTGTATAAGCAGTGAGTGAAACACGGTGAGATCCCCAGATGAGTATTTTTCTATGGTTAGAACTACACTTCCATCTCAACAAGGACTGAAGCCTCCTTGCCCAAAGGAAGGACACGACGACGGAATCAATAACATATTGACTTCCACTTTTCATGTTCATTCAGTTGCATGAATTGAAAAATTAGCAAAGCTTACCGCTCTCACACCAGCTTCTTGAACATAGGCAATATCAGCAGGAGTAAAGAGCCCAGATTCACCAACCACCTAGTCAATTCAAAAGAGAATAGAAAATTTCAGTCAGTAGGGTCAGACTAATGTATGCATCTATCCTCTAACCATGAGACACACTAACATCATAAAAATAAGGTCTATGGCTCAATGGACAGGCATGCGACAGCTAACACCATCACTTACAATTATGTCTTTCTGACGGATCCGTTGCCCACGATCTCCTTCAAGCAGTTTTTTGGTGTTACTAATATCAACCTTAAATGTTTCTGCGCACAAAGAAAGTGAAATTTGTTGGCAACAAAGCTACGTTAATTGAAGCATACTTTGCAACTGATGATGCTTAAATGATGTTCATTTGTTCAATTTACGTACACGTTAGCTATAATCTTGATCACCCTTTATGGGAGTGACGTTGCAGAATTATACCTTAAGTAGTATATTAGACTCCATACCAGCTAAAAGGAATTATTACATACAGTCATATCTGTATCATGACAATTGATCATGCAACATGAATACCAAGAGTAAATAAGATATATTGAAAAGAAATCATGAAAAATAATAGAAGGTATCCAACCAAAGTTCATCTATGAAATATAAGACTCTCCTACCAACACCTAGTTCTCATTATATCCAACAAAAATAATTCCAAACCATTCCTATGAATATTAACCAATTAAAAAGTCATCTTGAATACAAAGAGGATAAGTATGAGATATAAGCCTCAATCATGTAAGCACAAAACTCAAAAGTGGAGTTTCACAAAGAGAGCATGTGTCACCGAAGATGGGAAAGTACCAAGGTTTCGGTTGTTGATGCCGATAAGCTCAATCTCATCTATTTCAAGGACACGATCCATTTCCCTCTCATTGTGCACCTTGAAGAAGAAAGCAAAGAGGAAACAAAATGGTTATGATTTAGACAACGAGATTTTAATTTCACCAGAAATTAATAAGATACTAATGGAACAAAGATAGAAGCGCACAGAATAAGTAAAATATAATCAGAAGAACTCAAAATATATATATATATATATTCTTTAGGCAGAAAAAGTTCAAAAAATAAAAAAGAGACAAATCATCCCACCGCAAATCTTTGCAGCTTTGTGATTCCTTCATAAATTTCTCTAGCATGAGTTCAAACATAACCTCAAAATAAAAGGTCCAAAAGATCAGTTTTGCAGGGCTGATTAGTTAGCATTGCACTGATCTACGTTTAGAATGATAAAGGATACCACATTCAAGATAATATATTTGTTATCCAAAAAATATTCAAGATAATCTACTGTCACACTTTTGTAACACAATAATCATATTTCTTCTTTCTGACAAGAGAAAATCCATTATAGAGCACAAATAAGGGACACCATCCTGTACGTGTGAGCATGTGAGGTGCACTCAAAATCAACTATCGGACCAAATAATGGTTCATGTGAGATCTGTGATTAAAAAATTGTCAGTTCTATACAACAACCGAGAGAATAACAATCACGAAAGCATTATCCTAACCTCAACAAGTGCTGTCAACCCAAGCAACTTGCAAATCTTTGTCATATATTTGATGTCAAGATCCGGCAGAACAGCCGCAATTAACAGAATGGCATCTGCACCTTTAGTCCGAGCATAGTAGATTTGCCATGCATCTATAATGAACTCTTTGCATAATAAAGGGCACTGCACATTTAGGTTGTGTCAGAAGCTGTTTGTATCTAACATTTTTCTTTTAGCTCTAAGAACACCATGTGAAAAAGAAAACCTGTACTCCGGCATTTCGAATGGCTTCTATATTTTCAAAGCTTCCCTTTAATGGCAAATCCAAAAGAGAGTTAGAAGGTAATTATCAATGCACCAAAAAAAAAATCATCAAAACCAGCATGTACTGCATAGGTTTTAAAACTTGGCAGGCACAAGGTCAACGTGGAACTTAAAAGTTACCTGAAAATACTTCTGATCTGCCAAAACACTGAGGCATGCTGCTCCACCTTTCTCATAAGCTTTAGCAATCTCAACCTGTCATGAGAAAGAATTGGAAAACTAATGCACCCACATTAAGAAGAATCACAAATTTATAGAATGCACAAAAACAGCAAATCAGGATCCAAGTGTGCATATTTGTTCTTGTCGAATCACTTTCCCGGCCAAGGAACAGAATATCTGACAGCTAACAGAAAATCATCAGCACTAAAAGGTAGTAGATGCAGCCACTGTCGTTATTTTCATGAATTTTATTCTCCGTCTTAGACTCGAAGACACATTACATTGTTTATCCATTAGCAGTTACAGTTATAGTTTAACCTGTTACTGCAGGGATACCTCTTCTAGAAGCAGCTGCCAGTAAATAAAACAATGCCATTTACTTCCTCAGCTAGCACAATAAATGAACAGGACATATACAATGGCTTCTTCCTCTGTTATTTTTCCTCCATCGAGTCATTTGTTGAAAAGAAAATTTTCAGGAAGATTACATTTTGTACAGACTTCAGAGCCATATAAATATAATTCAATGAATGCATGAGGGTCAGAAATGGGTATGCTTCAAACTCACTGGATCAAAATTTTCTTTTATAACTCCTTTACTTGGAGACGCCTTTTTCACTTCAGCAATCAGAGCAGGCAATCCAGTTCGTAAATTTGAGGCCTTGAGGGATCCAATAAAATCTCTAGCAGGAGAAACCCTATCAAGAGCATTCTTAAGTGTCGAAAGAGGTCTTCTTTCTTTCATCTAAAGAACAAACGTTATCTGTGTCACAGCCAATTCACCAAAATAGATAGCTGAAAACATGGGGTGTGGGTTGAGGATCATATTGAAAACCAAAAAAAGTTTACCCGTGAGACTTCGACATCCTTGTTCCACACAATTTCCTCCAGTATGTTACGAGGAGTGTTGCCCTCATTCTGCATGCGGAACTCGAAAGGTCCCACATAATGCAAAGGAGGTCCTGTTGGTGGCCGTCTTCTGATTCTTATACCCTGGGTGGCAGCTATTTCATCTTGCAACCTTCCCACTTCCCATTCTTTGATTTTCAAAGCATCTACCTCGGAAATAGTATCTGAGGAATGTGGCACAGATTCTTCCTTCAACTCGGGCTACAGAAAAAATTACAATACTATTCAGTTTGAACACTTCTAGTCTTTCTTAAAAGCAATTCTACCTAATTGTCGTGAATGCTAATCCAACACTTTACAGTACACATTATAAATTTTCAATTATAATCATATCCAAAGTTTTCTTCATTCTTGCAAAATAATTCACAATCATAAAAATTTCATCAGGTTTGCCACGCATCTCTAGGTCTGAAGAGAACATGAAAGCTTGTTTACGTGCTGTTGTTCTTTGGTACTTCTTCAGTCCGTTTTTCCTCTTTTTCCCAGACTGAATTCTTTGTTCTGGAAAAACTGTATTCAACATAACAAGAAGTCAAAAATACCAGTTTTCTTTTCTTTTTCCGTGTATTTGGTTGACAGCAACACCACGAACTCTTCAATCAAATAATGACCCCTTAACAAATTTCATTTTAATAATTCAAAAGTATTCGCCACCATAAATTTACACATTAAAAGAATTTCTACATAACCGGGATAACTAACTCATGTTTCAAATCAGCACATCAAATTTTCCACAGTTAAAAGAAATTATCAATTCCAATGCAAATTTAGTCCTGAACTACAAAAAACGTACTACCTATCGACCAGCCCTCCCCAAGTGTCATCAGTTCAAAAAAGCCCGAAAACATAATCTACATATCTATCTATCTATGAATGAGAGAGAATGAAGAAAGAAATGAATGACCTGTTGAGCTCGAATGCAGGGTATCGAGAGATTAGTCACTTTCTGATCGGCCATTAGCTTCTCGGGAAATGGAATTGACCTCCGTTGAGAGAATTTGGAGTAGAGGGAGGATGGAATGGTCTGGAACGAAACCCTAGGTGTGGCTCTCAAGGACATCAAACCCTCCATGTGTTTGTTTCAATTCCAGAACCAAGCCCTTTTATATATGAAAGAGGTTTATTGTTCGGTTGCCCAACACCTTCGAGTTTGGGCTATTATTTGTGGACTACCAAAAGCGGGTTTGGTGTTTATTTTAGAGAAAAGGGGGCCGAAACTTATAATGAATTGAATTTGTTAAAGAAATTTATTAATAATAAGTTTGTTTTTTATTTTATTAATAAGTATTTAAGTCTATTATTTTTTTAAATCTCAAAAATACTCTTAACAGTGTTATTCTGTTCAAATATAAAAACCTTAAAGACCTTGAAAGCAACTTTAAATTAATTTCTTAAATTAAAAATTATTATTCCTCAATTCATTCCTAAATTGAAATTAAAATTTATATTCTCTCTCTCACGTTAGAAGAAGATCATCACTCCCGTACAACAAATCTTTCTCCTTAAATATCATTTTTTCCTTCATTGCATCAAAACCAGTAAGGTTTGGAACATAAACAACAACCATCACATTTTCTATTGTATTCTAGTCATCATGAATTTCTAGTCATAATAAACTTTTATGTCGTTGGTTTTCAAAAAAAAAAAGATTGAAAAACTTGTTCAATGTGTTATTAGTTTGATCCCTAATTTTATTTTTAATTTTTTGATAAATAATCCCAAAATTTTTTCAATGTTTCATGTTACTACGTTTTTTGTTGACCATGTTACTATTTTTTTTTTGCATGTTATTATTTTTTATTGAGCATGTTATTACCTTTTCAGTGTTACTTTTTTAGAGGCTGAAGAATTGAAGACTTCTATCTTTGTTTATGGGTTTAAATGCTACTATTTTTATTTTCAATGTTGTTCAATATTTCATATTGCTATTTTTTTTTTAAGCATGTTGCTGTTTTTGTTAAGTATTTTACTGTTTTTGTTAAGCATGTTACTATTTTTGTTAAACATGTTATTATTGTTATTTTTTTACAATATTAATATTGAATGTTATTATTTTTTTATGTTTAAATGTTACTATTTTGTTGTATTTAAATGGTATTATTTTTTTTGTTTAAATAATAACTTTTTTTTTATATTTGAATGTTACTATTTTTTATTTTTAATGTTAATATATACATATAGTCCTAAGGAGTTTTTAATTTTTAGTTTTACTTCACTTCCAAAAAGAAAGGAAAGTCCGGTAAAATTGATAACAATTAAATCTTTTTGGCGGACTTAAATCTAAATAAATCCATATAGGGAAACCAATTTTCAAATTTTTCTTTATTTTATATTAATTTGGTCTAATTATGATCCCAACACACTCTTAGATTTCTAATTAGGAAACATTTTTTGTTGCTTTTGTGAATCGGATTTTGATCAAAATTTAATCCAAATCTAAATTCGATTAGTCGGATATGGATTAATATGTTTTATGGATAATTTGAACCCGAATCCGAATTCGATATCTTATATTTCACAGATTTTGAATTTGGATATACCTATATTTGATCCGATTATGATATGATCCAAATTATTATAAATGTTAAAGAAATTAAGTGATTATTTTAAAAAAATTAGTTGAAATTTAAGTATAATTTCTTAAAATTTAGTTAATTAAGTTATTCGAATTCAGGTATGGACCACAAAAATAAAATTCGTCTGCTTATCAAATCAGATCGTACTTTGAAAGTGAATTCAAACTCAAATTTTGACCGATGCGAATCCGAATCTGATACATTGACAGGCCTAAGTGTCAACACTAATATATGACTAATAAATGAATTGTGTTAGCGTTAAATATGTGTAATCGACAAACTTAAATTTTTTTATTTTTTTACTAATTTACCCTGTATTTTGACGTGATTTGTATGATACCTTGAACGCCGAGGGCCAAAAGATTGGCCCGAAGTAAAACCAAATGATTGTTTCACTTGGTTTTATTAGTATTTGAAGCCGTGGGACTTGTGTATAAGTGATGCATTTTGTTAAGAGAGAAAATGGTCCTAGTCTTGCTTTCTTTCTTCACAAGATAAATTAAAACAAAACACAATTAACAAATAGATCAGGTTAGTAAATGGCCATCTTAGTTGATTAATTTATTTAGTCGGGTTTGTGTTAGTGATGCTCGACAACTTGACTCGAATATAGTACAACTAAACTCAACTGGCACGTCTAAGTTAAATGTTGGGGAAGAATTTGTATATGGGAAAGTTGGGGGCCAACAAATTGTCGCCCATATATGGAGAAATTGTTGGCCTCCCTTTTCCTCCCCCAACTTCTTTATTAAGTAACAATGCATTGCTATTCAGTCCAAGAAACAAAGAACTACAGTAATTATCAAAGACTCTAGTTCTTGAGATTATATTCAAGGTCTTTGGTTAGGTCTTGTCGATCGTATCTAATATGCAAAGTATTCCTCAACAACAATTTTTGAGAGTTAAGTGATAGATAATTTTACTTTATTGTTTGATATATTTTTGGATTACGGTGCGTGTCAAAATTTGATTGAACTTAAGATTCAAAGTTTCAAACACGTATAACCTTACCTGCTCAAATCAACGTGAATTTCTTAACTCATGACTGTTTAAACGATTATAACGAGATGTAAAAATTACCTTTGAGCTTTTTTTTTTATGCCTTGGGGGATTAAGGACTTAAACAATATCAAACTGGTAACTAGACTAGAATGTAGAAAAACAGTTAAAATGTAAAATAAAAGAAAGCTTAAATTTGGTAGATGAAAAAACTATTGTACTTAACATTAAACAGAAAAGAAAATCACCGGAGTGGTGGATAATACATTAAAATAAGTTTGCTAATGATAAGGGCGGAATTTTAGGCATGGGCCACCATAACCTTGGAGCCCAATAAGCCCAGAAGGCCCTCACCTATTTACTAACCCAAAGGAAGAACCCCTAGTCAGCACACGTGGGGGGGGGGGGGTAGAGAGTCGAAAAGAGAAAGCCCAACGACACCAAAAGACCAGCAGCGCAGCCTAAGCCCAACTCAATAACTAGCCAAAGGATAACTCAGTACTAAGAAGCCAAGCCCTTGTCCTGGGAGCACCCCGCCATGCCACTTGTCCAAAGGATAAGGAGACCATCTCTGACACTTGTGACAGCAGCACCCTCTTAGACACAGAGAGTGGTGATGTGTATAACTATCCAAAGATCGTGGGCATAGCAGTGCCGAACAACAGAGACTGTTGCGAGATAGTGACAAGGGACCCCATAGAATCAACAGAAAGGTAGAGGAGCCACCGGAAATCATAGAAGGAATGACTGGTATAAATAAAACAGTGTCAACCTACTAAAAAAAGGATTCTTCTTCACTGTATTTCTTAGCCCTAAATATACAACGAACTAAGGATAAGCCCTTGTAAAGGCTCAGTGTCAACAATCTCAATATATTCACCTGATCTTAATATACGACCTTAAGGAGCAAGATACTTCATTACAATGGATGTAGCCTCGGTCATTCGGCTAAGGTGAACCACTTACACTTTGAGCCTTCCATTATTCGCAAGTTAACCTCATATTCGATCGAATTTACTGATCCAAGTAGCAGTTCGTTAATTGAGCTTAAGTTATTATTTTCGAGATCCCATCAGTTGGCGTCGTCTATGGGAACAGTTTTCATTGTTTTCCTTTTTTAGTTTTTATCTATTTGATGGTTTCAACTCGGAGCATAAGTAAAACTCCAACCAATCTCCAAGTCCACCAAACTTACCAGAGAACTTTCTGGTCCTTGAAATGGACGTCGAGGATCACCTCCCAACTGCGAACCTCCCCCCACTCAATGAACTAGAAACCTACCATCGAATTACAATGCAACTGATAAAGCAAAACTAGGAACCAATGGAGTGGATACAAACACATCAGCTTCTTCGGTTCCCATTAGCTCGACAAGAGCCCCCTTCACCCCCAACAGAACACGACGACCCTCATTAGGAGTGCCAAGCTCCACCAAATGGAGTCACTGAACTCCATGAGCGCAGCCACTCTGGGGAAAATCACTGGAGGAGACACCTCAAAGAACACGATGAAGTTGAAGCCCACAATCAGGCTAGAACCACCTTTCGAGAAGGTAGACCCCATCCCCTGCTGGATGCCAATGATCATACGTGGGAGCAAAAAATTTGCGAACTCCAGCAGGAGTTGAGCAACGTGAAAGAGGTGGTTAAGGGAAAGACCCCCGACACCATGGACGCTGTGGTCCAGCAAATCGAGTCACCATTCACTCCTGAGGTCCTTCATTTTCCTCTCCCCTAGAAGTTTCGGATGCCATCGATAAAGGCTTTCAACGTGACCAAGGACCTAGTTAACCACTTGAATTCCTATAAAAATCAGATGAAACTCTAAGGGTACCCAGACCCAATCCGCTGCAGAGTGTTTGCCATCACCCTTAAGGGGTCGGCAATAGCCTGGTTCAACAGCTACAACCAGCGTCGGTCTCCTTCTTCAGGGAACTATCAATACAATTCGTTTTGCACTTCATGAGAGCAAGGATGTACAGGAAACAGTCCTACCACCTGCTGAGCGTCAAACAGGGACCCAACGAATCCCTTAGAAACTACGTGCACCGCTTCAACCAGGAATGTCTGAAGGTTGAAAGTGTGGACGATAAGTTCGCGCTGACCACCTTCGTGTCCAGGCTCAGGGTGTAGTCCAAGGACCTCCTTTCTCAATCGCGAAGAACACTTATGCTATTATGGCCGAAGTATTGGCGAAATTCGAGAAATACATTAATGGCAAATAGGCCCTCCGCCAGAAAGGGAGCTCGACGGTGACAGATGGATACAAGAAGAAAAGGGACCGCAGTCCCCGGAAAGAGAAAAGACACGATCGATCCCCAAAAGAGATCGCTCCTCGAGGAGAGGGAAAGAGCCTTCTCCTAAGAGGAGAAGCAATGTCTGAGACCGCCTCGGACCCCCTTCACAGGAATTACAAGTGCGGTACTCCCTAGCACCGCTTTCACCTCTCGTCACCTTGATCGCTCAGGTCCTCTGCGAGTTTCAGAATGAAAGGTTCATTCAATGGCCGCCTCGGATGAAGTTCAACCCTAGTAGACGGGATGCCTACAAATACTGTGAGTACCACAAAGACACGGGCCATGAGACAAACGATTGCATCCA